TCATCACCAATCAAAGTTCTATTGATAGTTTTTTTTTATTTTTTTTATTTTTTTTTTATTTAAATTTATTATTTTATTTTTTTTTATTTATTTTTTAACCTTTTTATTGAGGTGTTAGTTTCCTTTTTCTTTTTTATTTTTTTTTTTAAATATTATATTTCAGATATTGTCCAAAACACATCTGTGTTTATTACTTTTATTCTCAGTTTTTTTTTCAATATTTCTTTGTGTAAAAAAAATTTTATATTCACAGCTTTGGAGGTAGGATTGGTATTTTTATAAATAAAAAATATAATATTCTTTAATAGAGATTATATAAATAATATTAGATAAATAGATACTTCTTTTCTTTCTGTTTTTTTTTTTTTGTTTTTTTTTATATTTTTTTTTTAACTCCATCATTTTTACAAAATTTTTAATTTTTAATTTTTTTTTATTTTTTTATATTTTTTTTTAATCATCACTCTTTTATTATTTTGTTCATTAGTCATTTTTTAATTATTTAATTTTCTTTATTTTTTATTACTATATGTAATTTTATTTAATAATAATTTTTTAATTTTAAAAACACAACTTCAAAAATAATTGTATTATATTTTTATGAAAATAAAATATACCAAAAACAATAAAAAATTTAAATAAAAAAAAAATAAAAACCACTTAAATGGTATGTTATATATTGGAAAACAAAAAATTGATAACAAAAAAAAAAAAAAAAAAAAAACCTGTCTGTTGTTGTTTGGGTGGGGTTTTTTTTTTATTTTTTATTTTTTTTATTTTCAAATTTTTATTTTTATTTTCAAATTTTTTGTGATTGTGTTGCTATTGTTAGAACATCCACTTACTCCTCAATAATAAAAAAAATATTAATGTGCATTTCTTTCTCACCCACAAAACTTAAAACTTTTTTATTAAAATGGTTTTTTTTTCATTTTTCAAGAATTTAACAAATGTTATTTTAATTTTTTTTTTTTTTTTTTTTTATTATTTTTTTTATTTTTTTATTATTTTTGTTATTTTGTGTGATAACAAGACCAAAATAGAGCGTCTATATTGGTTTTTGGTATATTTTTTTTCAATAATCAAAATTTTCATTTCATTTAAAAATAAAATAAAAATAAAAAAAAAAGTTATATAAATATATAGATTTTTAATTTTATATCTTATTTTTTTTTTTCACAAATTTCAAAAAATATTTTTAATTTTTTTTTTCAAAAAAAACTTTATTTTTTTAATTTTCAAAATTTTCTCTAATCAATTTTTTTTCTAATATATAACTAACAAAATTATTTCTTTTTATAGATAAAGTGAAATCAAAAAAAAAAAAAAAAAAAAAATTTTAAAAAAAGTAAAAATAATTTAATTTTTTTTTTTATTCTTTCCAAAAAATAAAATAAAATAATAATAATCAATACAAATTTTATACCCAGTAAAAAGAAGATAAATTATAATTTCAATTTTTCCTAGTTTTTTATTTTTAATCACAACTCTTCAATTTGTTTTTATTTTTTCAAAAATTAATAGGAAAAAATAAAAAAATAGAAAAATAAAATATAATAAAAAATAAAAAAAAAAAAACGGAAAGTAATAGTAATAATAAAATGCAACACACCGATAGCGATGGCGATGAGGATTACCATATAAATGGAAAACCAATATCGTCTCTTTACCTGTCAGAGCTTCAAAATGCTGTTAGATCACGTGGGGGTAGAATTCCCTCCAATTCAAGCAAAGCTAATGTTTTAAAACAGTTAAAAGAAATAATAAAAAAAGAGAGGCAAACTAGATCGCTAAGTAATAGTAACCATCATGGACAAAGCAATATTAATAATCATCATAATAACAGTAATATTTTCAACAATCATAATATTCAAATTAATCAATCGATGTTTCACCATAACAATGGAAACCAAATAAAAAATAACCACTATTTACCAAATAATAACATAATATTAAACAATAGTAATGGTGGTTTAAATAATATAAATAATAATAATAGCATTTTTAATAATTTTAATAATAATCATAATAACTTTGTAAATAAACATAAAAAAAATAATGGTCAAAAAAATGAATTCGAAATAATTTCAAATTCATCGCCTTCGACATCCTCACCACAATCATCACCAACTCCTCGACCATTATCCCCACCCTTTTCACCATCATCACTTTCACCTATACCACCATCATCCACAAACACCTCTCCTTCACAAACTTATTCACCTCCTCAAATCTCTATAAGGCCCAGACTAATAAACCAGAGCAATATTCCAAATCACACAAATTCAAATGGTTTTTGTAGAGAGGATTTAAGTGATATAAAAAAAATAAATATATCGAGTAGCAGCAATAGCGTTGGTATTAAAAGGCACTCATCGATAACATCATTATGTGACCTAACCGATGAAGAGCCAATTCAGCATATCAGCAACAACAATAATAATCACAACAGTTATAACCATCACAATAATATGGGCCCATTGGCTAATCAAACAACAACATCAGCAATTATTTTAAACGACATTCATTCAACAAAAAAAAAGAAAAACAGCGGAGATCCATTTCATTTAAATAATAGTGAAAACTATATATCTAAAAACACTTTTAATGAAATCGATGATTTGGATAGAAAATTAAACAGCTTTAATTTTATTTCAACAATAAATCGTTTAAATTTGGTAAATTATGGCGAAAGGTTAATAAGAGAATTTAAAAGATTTTTAATAATAAAAAAAATAACAGGTAAATTATATTTTTAAATTATATTTAAAATAAAATAGTAACTAACCAAATTAATTTTAAGATGATAGATTAGGAAACAAAACATTTGGTTCTTCTCTTATCGAAGAGTTATGGCTAGGAATCATTGTCGAAACCCAAAGATATGATGAGTTGAGTGATTTAATCGGTGCCAAGTTCCATTACGATCCATATATTAAAAAAGAACAATTTGAAAAAAATACTGAAAGAACAATAGAAATTTATAAAAAAATTTGGCCAAATACAATAGATCATGAAGTGTGGTCAATAGAGCTTAATGAAAATAATTATCAATTTGATGGTAATACCGATGATAGCGAAAATGAAGATAACAATAACAATTGCAATAGTATTCATAGTTTAAGTAGTTCAAATACTTTCTCATTAGTCAGATCCCTTTCAATTTCATCACCATTAAAGCAATCTCTTCCGTCACTACCATCATCACTTTACCATCCTTTCAAACCATCACCATTATCATCCTCACAAAATATGACCACATCACAGCGTAGTGAACAAATAAAAATTCATTTTTTTGAAAATTCAGGTGGTAACAGATTCAATACAAAGATATTTTCAAACCAACCTTTAAAAAAAGTAATGGATGGCTTTTCCAATCAATTTAATGTTCAAGAACCACTCGATTCTTTGCAGTTTTACTTTAAAGGAAATTTATTGTCTCCAAACGAAACCCCCAGTTTTTATAAAATTAATGAGGGTGATGTAATAAGTGTTATTCGAGAAAAATGTAAAAAGGGTTTATTTTAAAATTTATAAATCATTGAAAAATAAAATCGTCCAAATAAAAATAATGTTAATACTCAATACATTAGTTTTCAAAAGTTTAAATAATTTGTAATATCGAAAATGTTCAAATTAAATAAAATAAAACAAGTTTTTTTTTTTTTTTTTCTTATTTTGTAATTTCTTTAAATTTATCTTTGATCCATTTGAATATTTTTTATTTTGTTTTGTAAAGTTGCTTTTTGTTTTCTTTTATATAATATATATAAAGTTGATAAGATAATAACAATAGCCAATCCAACAGATCCCAAAACTATACCAATTATTTTATTTGTTGAAAGTTTGCTAGAATTTGTTGAACAAATTCCTGTGGATTTTGGTGTGTTATCTAATAAAATAGAAAAGTCTGGATCAATTACTATGGATTCTGTATAGTATGGTATTTGTATGGCAATATATGAGTTTGCTTTATTGTTAGAGTCCTTTTCCATTGTTTCATTTAGCATTTTATTTGATATCAATGTTGGGGTTATATTATTTATCAAAGCTCTTTTAATGAACCTACCATATAAATATAGATGGCCAAGAGATATTTTTAAGTAGTCTTCCGATAATAGTGAGTCTTGATTATTGTCATTTGAAGGATCTAATTCTTTATTGGAGCAAATGTCATTTTTGTTTGATGATACTTCAGTACTTATGATCAATTGGAGAGTATTTAATTTACTCTCGAAAGAGTATTTTCCTAAATAAATTGTATATTTAATTGATGATGGTCTTAATTTAATTGGAAAATCTGCAAAAATAATATCTGATCCTTTTTCAAAATATTCAACTGATACATTTATGATTGTCAATTGGCCATCATTTGTTTGAATTGTAGTGTTATATATATAGTGGTCTTGATTTGTTTGGTTAATTATGAGAGTCCAATTCGAAAGCTTATATCTCTTATATTCTGAGCCATCATAATTAATTTCTCTAACTTGAATAATATTAATAAGAGCACGTATAGATTCTTCACTAGTTTCATTGGTGGGTTTTGTAACAATAACTGTTACGGGATCTGTATCATTTTTATCTGGTTTGGGAAATACAATGATTTTTTGACTGCAATCATCACCAAACCATGGAAATGTACAAATGCATTTAGTATTTTCATTACAATATCCATGGTTATTGCAGTCTTTATTGCATTCATTTGAGGAGAAAGATCCAGAATTACTTTGGTTTGATTCTATAGGGTTTTTAAAAATTTCTGCTGAACCATAATTCTCATGAACTTGAATATAAGAAGTTATATTTCTATAATAAAGGTTTAGTGAGCTATAACCAACAAAGGATCCTGTTTTACCAATTATACCATAAACACTAACACAAATTCCAAGTGGGTATCCAAATCCACGAGGAATCGACACAGTGCATCCATAGGTAGTTGTTTTTCCATCAAAATTTATAAAAGATGTTTTATATTGTAATATTTGATTATTTGCAGTTGATAAATAAATAATGGGCATCTGTTGTTCTAATACATCGCCAATAATTTTTAAATTAAAGTTAACTGTTCTATCTTCAGAAAATATGTTCACATATGTTCTCGATATATTAAAAAAATGGATATATGGTGTAGTATAAAGATTTGAGATGTTGTTACAGGTTATCATTATAGAATCAATTGCTGGGTCGGAAATTTTTTCTGACCATGGGTGGAATAGCTGATGATAGTCATAATAGGTGGGGTTAAAGAATGTTGAGTTTATACCTTGAGTATCGACTAAATAAAGCTGAGAAATAAAATAGATTTGGGAAAATATACATTTTCTGGAAACTAGTACATCGAAATATGCTTTTTTTGAATTACTTGATTCTTTCCATGTTGTACTTGATAGAGTAAAGTTATACATTGAACCATCAATTGAACCCATAATTACGATATATCCATATTTAAAACCATTTAAACTATCTTCAATTGTTAAACTATAGCCAAATTCACCATCATTGTACAGTTTTTTCATTTCAGTAATGATTGGACCTTTTAAATCAAAAGAATCGCTTAGACAACTAAACTCGCCTTCAATGTCACTGCTATAAATTGTATTTGACTTTGATGTTGATAGAGTGTATTTAAGTCCATTTTGGCCACCGATTATACCGCTTGGAAGTTTTATATTTGAGAAAATATAACGTTCACCCCCAGTATAAACTCCATAGTATTTAATGGCTTCATATTGTGGTTTAATTGTTAAAATAAATGGGGCATTTTTAAAGTCTGTAAAAACACTCAATGAGTTTACTGAAGGTGTATCAACATGAATACTGGTTTGATCCCAACTTATTCCTGTTATATCCCCACTTGCAATACCTGATAATAAAAAAATTAGTTTAAAGTTATAAATTAATTTTTAGAGAAATTTATAATTTAAAAAAATGATACATACCTACTTTAGTAAAGTTTGGAATTTGAAAAATCTTTGTTGATGTATAGTAAAAGCCTTCAACAAGATGAACCACACTTCCACTTATATCATACACATATACATTAAAAGTTTCATAATTTACATTTTCTATAGTATCAAAATTTTCAAAAACAAGTTGAACTTGGCCATTATAGAGATCACCTTTTGTCATATGCATTTTATCAAAATTAAATATTCTATAGCAATGGCTATTTGGAAACAACATAATTTTAATGTGTGAGATACCAAATTGCGATGAGTAGTCTATTGAAACAAGATAACTATTTTCGTTTGAATAGGCAAAGCTAATGTCATTTACTAAAATTGTACCATAAACTAATTTAAAAAAAAAATTTATTAAGGATTTTATAAAAAAAAAAAAATATAAATTAAAAAATTACTTTGTTTTCCACTGGAACCAAAAGTATATTTACTATCGTTATCCAAAATAACTTGATAGTCAACACTTGAGTATTCATGTTTGAAAATTGGGATTTCTAATGTATAGGAGCCTAAATTACCATTGTTATAACCAAAAGGAAATGAAATTGGTGTTTCAAAGTAGTCAAATTGATTTAAACTAAATCTTCCTAAATGTTCGGATGGTAAGTTTGATGTTATTTCTACATTAGTTGAACAAAATATTATATTATTTACCATTACCAAAGTTAGTAATGGAGTGGTTTGTAGCCAACCATTAGATCTTGAATAGACTATCAATAATAATTTCAAAATGGTTAGTAAAAATGGTTTACCTAGTTTTGCATTATAAGATGAAATATATAGTTACAGTTAAAATCAGAATTATCCCATGTTGAAGTATAAATGGTCTGAGGAGTTGATATATATAATTTATATTGATTAAATTGGTAAATTGTTGAAGGTACCACTGTAACCATATAGTCAATAATATTCGGAGTTGTCGAACCAGATATAGGTATAGGAACAAGAGTGTCAAAATCAGAATCAATCACTCTTGTTAAACCTATACTAGAGCCAATTGTCAAGGAAATGGTGCTTATTATTTGAGGATACGAATAATAGCTATTCATAAACGCTCCATATTTTGTAAAAGGGTGGGGTAATTCATTTTTCATAACCTCTTCTATAAAAAATAAAATGAAAAAATAAATTATTATTATAATTTTTTAAAATTTTATATTGAAATAGAACACTTACCATTTAGTGGGGGAAAAAAAGATATAGTACCAGAAGTGTCCTCGTGGAGATAATATGTAGCAATCCATTGGGCATTATTGCTTTTTTTTATTCCAATAAATGATACTCTATAGTAGTGTTGATAGTATGTCACTACATTTTTGGTGTATGCGAAAACCATTTCGACTTTTTGTGATATGTCAGAAGATGCTTCTATTGTTGTTGGTGGTGTAGTTGAGGTTTCAGCAGAGAAATAATAATATCCACTATATGCATTTGATAATGCATCAAACTTTAGATTTTGTAAAACTCCTCCATAAACCAAAAAACTGTTAGTTGCTAAAATATAAATGTTATATTAATAATTCAAAATATGAAAATAAATTTTTTTTTAATAATATTATTAAACTTACCATAACAGTTTACAGTAAGTGCATCTATTTGAGAAGCAGTAGTTGAAGAGAATAAGGTCTCTATGTTGCTAAGGCCAAGGGGAATGGTTGCAATATTATGAATATATAGATCTGAATTTGATGAAAATGATATTGTTTCAATTGAATAAACAGGATCTTGAGTGTAATTCAGTGTACCACCTCCCTGATCTAAAACATGGTATCCATAACGAACTCTGCATACTTGACAAGCTGGGTTGGTTTTAGTTGTACATATTGGAAATAAATTTATAGTGGAGCCTTGATTGAATAAAGGTTCTACGAAAATTTGTGACTCTATTATATTTATTAGCGATAGCGATATAAATAATAAAAATATAAAGTTTTTTTTGTATATATTATTAAAACTTAACATTATGGTTAGCATTAAGAATTATGTGTACTAAAAAAAAAAAATTTACCCACCATAAAATTTTCCAATATTATATTTCCAAAATAATTACAAAAAATTTTATTTTTAAAAAAAATATCCAAAAAAAAATATCAAAAATATTATTTGATTAAAAAAAAAATCATAAATTTATAATTTTATTTTTGATTTTATTTATAAAAATATAAAAATCATAATCCTCTGCACAACAATCAAATTCACCATATTTCCTGTAACCATCTTGAACCCCATCATATCATGGCATGAATCATATCTTCAAAAAAAAACTTCTGTTTTATTTTTTTTAAATCTTTAAAAAAAATTTATTATCATTAAGTCTATTGCTATTTTTCAAAGTGGGTCAAAGAAGGAGTGGGAGATCTCATCCCAGCAATAGAAAAAAGGTTTATTGGTATTACAAATAAAAAGAAATAAGGGTGTGGGAAGAAAGAAACAAAAAATATGAATTTCTGTCATCAAATTTTAAAAAAAAAAAAGATTTTTTTTTAAAATTAATTTTTTTTTAAATTCAATGTAATTTTTAAATTAATTTTTTTTTATTTTTTATTTTTTATTTTTTATTTTTTTTTTTTTTTTTCATTCATTTCATTTTTTTTAAATATTAATTTTATTTGTTATATTAGTTTTTTAAATATTAATACATTCATAAATATTATTTATAAAATCAAAAATGGAAAATGAAATAATGAAAAAGAGCATAAAATTTAACATTGACAGAGGTGGAACATTCACAGATATTTATGCAGAATTCCCATTCGAACCATATTATATTGTAGAAAAGTTATTATCAGTCGATCCAGATAACTACTCAGATGCACCAAGAGAGGGTATTAGAAGAATCTTAGAGAGAATACAAAAGAAATCAATACCAAAAGATAATGTTGATACAACATGCATTAAATCAATTCGTATGGGAACTACAGTAGGCACAAATGCATTACTCGAAAGAAAAGGTGAACGTGTACTTTTGGTAACAAGTGAAGGTTTTAAAGATTTATTACAAATTGGTAATCAAGCTAGACCCAAAATTTTCGATTTAAATATTGTTAAACCCGATTTAATTTACGATTCAGTTTTGGAAGTAGAAGAAAGGGTTCAAATCATCAATAATCAGCATTTACTATCTCAATACAATGATGAGGAACTAGGTAAACTAGAACGTGGTACAACTGGTGACTATATCAAAATTTTAAAAGAACCAAATTTAGATAAAATCAAAAAAGATTTAACAGTAAGCTATCATAATATAATAAATAATTAATATATAATCATTAATTTTTATATTGAATTTTAAAATTCAATAGGAACAATTTAAAAAAGGTATCAAATCAGTTGCAATTGTTTTTATTCATTCATATACATTTAATAGACATGAAGAAATGGTTGGTAAAATTGCACAAGAGGTTGGGTTTACACATATCTCATTATCACACCAACTAATGCCAATGATCAAAGCTGTACCAAGGGGCTTAACAAGTTGTGTTGATGCTTATTTAACTCCACTCATCGAACTATATATTAAAAATTTCGAAAAGGGTTTTGATAAGAGTATAAAGGATGTAGATATTTCATTCATGATGAGTGATGGTGGTTTGTGTCCAGTAGATTCTTTCAGAGGCTTTAGATCAATTCTATCAGGACCTGCAGGTGGTGTTGTTGGATATTCAAAAACTACTCATGGTGAAACTGGATCAAATAACAATCAACAGCCAATCATTGGTTTCGATATGGGTGGTACATCAACCGATGTTTCTAGATACTCTGGATCTTTTGATCATGTTTTCGAAACTGAAATCTCTGGTTTAACTATTCAAGCTCCACAATTGGATATTCATACTGTTGCTGCTGGTGGTGGCTCACGTTTATTCTTTAAATCAGGTTTATTCAATGTTGGCCCAGAATCTGTAGGTGCTCATCCAGGTCCAGTTTGTTATAAAAAGAAGGGTAATCTTGCAATTACTGATGCAAATTTATTATTAGGTAGATTATTACCACAATTTTTCCCATCAATTTTTGGTCCAAATCAAAATGAACCATTAGATTACCAAGCTACCCTCTCTGCTTTTCAAACCCTTACTCAAGAGATTAATAATTTCCAAAGTAAAAACAACCTTCCATCAATGAGCGAAGATGAGGTTGCATTTGGTTTTATCAGAGTCGCAAATGAAGCAATGTGCCGTCCAATTCGTAATATTACCGAGGCCAAAGGTTATGATTGTTTTCAACATATATTAGCATGTTTCGGTGGTGCCGGTGGCCAACATGCATGTGCTATTGCTCAAAACTTGGGTATGCCAAAGGTTTATATTCACCGTTTCTCTGGTATCCTTAGTGCCTATGGCTTGGGATTAGCAGATTTGGTCATCGATAAACAAGAGCCATGTTCATTATCATACAACAAAGAAAATCAAGATGAGCTCAAGCAAAAACTACAAGAACTAATGGAAGATGCAAAGAAACAACTCTTGTGTAAAGGATTCAACGAAAAGGATATTATTTGTGAAGGTTATTTAAATTTAAGATTCTCTGGCACAGATACTTCAATGATGGTTAAAACTCCGGATAATGGCGACTATGAAGAAGAATTTAAACAAAACTACAAAAGAGAATATGGTTTTATTATCAAAGGCCGTGATTTATTAATCGATGACATTCGTGTTAGAGTCTACGCAAAAGGTTCAGACTTAAATGCAATTACAATTCCTGATGCAGATCCAAACTCACCACCCAAACCAGAGCTAGTTCACAAATGTTATTTCGAAAGTACAGGTAGAACCGATACACCTGTTTTCCTACTTAAAAAATTGGGTGGAGGAGACTCTATTAGTGGTCCTGCCATCATTATTGACAACACAACTACCATCGTTGTCGAACCAGATTGCAAAGCAAATATTTTAAAACCAAGTGGAAATATCGAAATCATTGTAGGAAATGGCAAAGGTAAAACCATTGATACCAAATTAGACCCAATCATTCTTTCAGTATTTTCCCATCGATTTATGAGTATTGCTGAGCAAATGGGAAGAACTCTTCAAAGAACCTCCATTTCAACTAATATCAAGGAGCGTTTAGATTTTAGCTGTGCTATTTTCAGTCCAGATGGATCATTGGTAGCCAATGCACCACATCTTCCAGTACATCTAGGTTCAATGCAAGAAGCTGTTAAATATCAAGTAAACTTATTAAAAAATAGTTGGAAAGAAGGTGAAGTCATTTTATCGAATCATCCACAAGCTGGTGGTAGCCATTTACCAGATATGACTGTTATGACACCAGTTTATCACAAAGGTGAAATTGTATTTTTCGTTGCCTCAAGAGGTCATCATGCCGATATAGGTGGTATTACTCCTGGCTCAATGCCACCATTTTCCAAATCTATTCACGAAGAAGGTGCTGCTATTAAATCTTTGAAAATTGTTGAAAATGGTCACTTTCAAGAGGATACCATTAGAGAAGTTTTCGCAAAATCACGTAATCTTGCTGATAATCTTAGTGACCTGAAAGCACAAATTGCTGCCAATCGAAAAGGTATTTCTCTAATGGAAGAGTTGATCAATCATTATGGCCTCGAAGTAGTTCATGCCTATATGCACCATGTTCAAAATAATGCAGAGTTGGCCGTACGTGATATGCTTTATGAAATCTCTCTTGCAAATAAATTAAAACCAGTTGACACTTTAATATCAACCGACTATATGGATGATGGATCAAAGATTGAACTAAAGCTAACTATTGATCGTGAACAAAGAACTGCCATATTTGATTGGAGTGGAACTGGTCCAGAAGTATTTGGAAATACCAATGCCCCTCCATCCGTAACCTATTCAGCAACCATCTATAGTTTAAGATCAATGGTCAAAAGGGACATCCCCTTAAATCAAGGTTGTCTAAACCCAATTACCACTATTATTCCACCAGCTTCAATTTTAAATCCAACTGCAGAGGCAGCAGTAGTAGGTGGCAATGTATTAACTAGTCAACGTGTTACCGATATTATTTTAGCAGCATTCAAAGCATGTGCAAATAGCCAAGGTTGTATGAACAATTTAACATTTGGTGATGAAACTTTAGGCTATTACGAAACAATTGCCGGTGGTTCTGGTGCAGGTCCAACATTCAATGGTTTTTCAGGTGTTCAATGTCATATGACAAATACAAGAATTACAGATGTTGAAATTATGGAAAAAAGATACCCAGTGCTTGTCAAAGAGTATAGTATTAGAAAAGGCTCAGGTGGTGATGGAAAATATAAAGGTGGTGACGGTGTTATTAGAGAAATTGAATTCCTCAAAAACTTTACCGTCAGTATCTTATCAGAAAGAAGATGTTATCATCCAAAAGGTTTAGAAGGAGGCCAAGATGCTGAATGTGGCGAAAATCTTGTAAGAAGAAAAGATGGCAAAATTATAAATATTGGTGGTAAAAATACAATAGATTTAAATTCAAACGAATCAATTATAATAAAATCACCAGGAGGTGGTGGTTTTGGTAGTAAAAACTAAAATAAAAACATAATGTGATAATAAAATTTTTTAATTTTTAATTTTTAATTTTTTTTTTTTAATGTGTGCGATTTCAATTCATGAATTGTATTTTCATTCAGCTATCATATACCAATTTCATTGTCATATAATGAACTGCAAAACTCTTACTTAATTCCTTTTCTACTATACTTTATAAAATTAATTATAATAAAATAATATAATTGTATACAATTATATTATAAATGAAATATAAAAAAGGAGAATTGTTTATTTTATTATAAAAAAAAAAATTTTTGAAAAAAAAAATTCCCCTTTAATATATTCATATTATTTTTTTTGTATAAACTATTAACCATTTGGCTCTAATATACTACCATGGTAGAGCTGGAAATATTCTTTACAAAGAGTGTCTAATAGTATAAAAAAATAAATAAAATAATGGTATTGATCATTTTATTATCTTTAAAAAATTAATTAGAAATTCTTCCCTTTTAAATTTTTTTTTTAATTTTTTGCAGAGTTCGAAAATTATTGTTATCGTTGGCGTGTTCATTGTCCACGTTTCAAAAAAAAATTTTAATTTTTTATAACAATAAAAAATAACTTATATAAAATTTAATTAATAATTAGTCTAAATATTTTAAAAGATTAATCTTATATTAATATAACTGCAGAATATTGTTATTATTTTTAAATGTTGTATATATATTAAAATAAAAAAATGTAATTTTGGTTATAAATATAAAAAAAAATTAAAAAAATTAAAAAATCTAATCGAACATTCACATAATTAATAAAAAAAAAAATTAATCAAAGAATGTTTTATTGAATTGCTTTAAATAAAAATAATAAATAAAAGAATGAATTATTGTTTTCTTTGAATGTTAATTATAAACTTTTTTTTTTTTTTTTTTTTTTTTTTTTTTTTTTTTTTTTAATTTTTAATTTTTTTTTTTTTTTTTAATTATTTTTTAATATTATAAAAATTTTATATTTTTTAGTTTTGGAGAGCGTGTCTATTTTTAAATAAATAAAAGATAAAATAAATAATTAAATAATTAAATAATTATTTAAATAATTAATTAACTAATTAATTAAATAATTAATTTAAAAATTAAATAAATTCATTAGATAATTTAAATAATTTAAATAAATTAAATAAATAAAATAAATAAATAACAGTACCAAAGTATAACCTCTCACAAAAAGAAATCAAATAAAAAATTTTAAAACTATTTTTTATTTAATTTAAAACAATAATTATTAAATAACCATAACAATAACAATAAAAATAAAAGTAAAAATAAAAATAAAAATAAAAATAATATAATATGAATAATATGAATAATATGAATAATATGAATAATGGTAATATTCATCTATTTTGGAAAGTGTTTAGAAATAAATTTATAAAAAATGAAATATTTAAACACATAAAAATATATGGTAACATATATAAATATACAAGATTTAGATCATTCAAATCAATCAAGGCTTTAGATTTTCAATCAATACAGCTATATAAAGAATATATAACATTTTTAAGAATCGATTTCAAATTAGACTATAGTTTTAATTTCAACTTTCCAAATCTTGAAACTCTTGTATTTGGTGATAATTTTTACGAAGAAATACCCGACTCTATAGTTTTACCAATATCATTAACAAGACTCACCTTTGGCGATGGTTTTAATAAACAGCTTCCAGAATTACTATTAAAACCATTAATAAATTTAAAATATCTATCATTTGGCACAAGCTACCAACAAAAACTAAATAATCTTCCAATAAATTTAAAGAGTCTACATATTACATCAATTAGATCATTAAAAAATAATAATCATAATAATAACAGCAACACCTTGAATGGTTTTAATATTAGAAACAAATATAATAATAGCAACCAAAGTTTAGCAAGTAGTAGGGGTAGTTCATGCTCAAGTGCAAGTAGCAGCCATATTCTAGAGTCTTCCGAAGCCGAATCTGATGATTTAGATTTAAGTATTGATTTAAATGATGATAATCAAAGTAACAATAGTAGTGCATTTGGTGGAATCAATACCTCAATTCATAACAACCAACCTCAAATTTATGAAAGCGATTTAGCAAGTAATGAAAGCGATACCAATGACGGCGATGATGATTATGATAGTTTTTATCAAAATAGCAATAACAGTACAAAGCTAATTAGTGCAATTGATGAAGATCAAGATCTTATATTCCCTGGCCTACTCCCAAACTCACTTGAAACTCTAACGATTTCAAACTATGTATTAACAAAGTACAGCTTACCTTCAAGCCTTACCTCACTTACTTTTACAAATGGATTCAATCAGCCCATTACCCCAGGTATATTTAAAGAAGGATTAAAAACCCTAAACCTAGGTGCAACTTTCAATTCTAAAATATACCCATTCTCTCTTCCAGAATCATTGGAGGAACTAGTGTTTGGGGAATTCTTTAATCAAGATATCCCAGAGATAAATGTAATCCCAAAAAATGTAACATCACTAACATTAGGCCCATACTTTGAACCAACCAACTATTTATTCCTTCAAAACTTACCATCACTTAAGAAATTAGCAATTTTAAACCCAGATATTAATAACGATGCTGTAATACCAGATACTGTTCAAGAATTAATATGCAATTTTAGAGATAAGATACTAAATGTAGGTGACCTCCCATCATCTTTAGAATCATTGTACTTTTTAGACTCTTTCAATCAAAAACTTTTGCCTGGAATCGTTCCTACGGGTGTCAAGTCAATTTCTTTTGGTGATAGCTTTGACAGAAAGCTTGATAATATACCAAGCTCGGTAGAAAGCCTTACCCTCAATGGTGTTTACAACAGAAGACTATCAAACAACTCATTACCCAAAGGTTTGAAATCATTAACGCTAAGCTTCTTTTTCAACAAGACCATTAACCAAGGTGATCTCCCAGAAGGTTTAGAGGAACTTGTTTTCGGTGATTTATTTAACAAAACCATTACCAGAGAGTCTCTTCCATCATCTCTAGAATCCCTAACATTTGGCAAGCACTATAACAAAACAATCGAAAAATCATCACTTGAAACAAATACAAAACTAACTCATCTTACCTTTGGTGATAAGTTTAATCAGCCAATTATACCCAACTCTTTACCATCTAGTATTGTCAATCTCAAATTTGGTAAAAAGTTTAACCAGCACCTTCCCCATGGTGCCTTGCCACCAAAAATCAAGCGTTTAAAATTTGGAAAGTATTTTAACCAACCCATTTCAAACTTACCAGCTATAACCAATTGTCAGTCGCTATTATGTATTAAATTTGGTGCGAATTATAATGAATCGATAGCAGAGTTTATAAAAGCTCTTTCAAATTGTAAAAAATTATATAAACTATGCTTCCAAAACCTCTCAGAACCATTAAATATTTTTTCAAACTTTAAAGATCTATTGCAAAGTAATATTACTGTTATTAAAATATCTGAAGGTAATCTTGGAGATATTTCAAACCTGCCATACTCCATTCAAGAACTAATTATACCAGAAAACTACAATTTAACAACACTTAACAAATCCATAATCTCAACTATTTATTTAAAGTGGAATGTATCATTACTAAATTATTTTAAATATCTAAAGAAATAAATAATTAAAATTTAATTATTGTTTTTAAAATTATTATTTTTTTTTTTTTGTTATAATTTATTATAAACAACTATAATATAATAAAAGAAATAAAAGGAATATAGTTTTATAGTTTAAAATTTTTTTTAATTTTATATTTTTTAATTTTTTTAAATATTTTTTTTTTTTGTTTAAAAAAAAAAAAAGAGTTTATGATTTATGATTTTAAATATGTCATGTTTTGTTTTTAGGTTGTTTTAAATTTTTACTATTTATATACTTTAGGGATATTATTATTATTGTTATTATAATTATTTTGATTATTAATTATTTATATTTTAAAAAAAAGTTATTATTATTATTATTATTATTATTATTATTATGTATTTTATATAATTTATTCATCACCAACAATAATTTTATCTGAAGTAAGGAATTTGTATGGTGGGACGATTAAATTCATTGGAGCTGGACCTTTACGAATTCTACCAGCATTATCATAATGGGAACCGTGACATGGGCAATACCAACCGTGATAGTCACCACCACCTGAAATTGGGATACAACCTAAATGAGTGCAAACACCAACTAAAACAACCCATTCTGGAACTTTGACACGAGCGTTATCTGGTTGTGGATCTGGGAGTGATGATAATTCGACAGCTTGTGATTCAGAGATTTCGTGAGCAGATCTGTGACGAATGAATAATGGTTTACCTCTCCACTTGACAACAACGGCGGTTTCTTCTGGGATACCGCTGAGATCGACTTCAACTGATGATAAAGCTAAAATATCTTGACCTGGTGACATGGTACTTAAAGCAGAAACAACAGTGTTTTTGGCGATAGCACCTAAACCAGCACCAGCACCACCAACAACTAAATAAGCGAAACCACGATTTTCTGGGTCAACTTGGTTCTTTTCAGCTTTATATTTTTTGAAATGTTCAGTTGGGAATGATGAAGTACTGTTTACTGTATTGTAAGTAGCATAAGTACGACCTAAAAAATGAAAAATGAAAATGAAAATAAAAATAAAATTAATATTGTGTTTTAAAAAAAAATACTGTTTATTTTTGAATATGATTTGCAATATGTTGATAAACAAAATTATTATTAATAATATTTTCCAAACTACTTCTATAACAACTGTAATAAATTAACTTTCGAACATCCAAACCTATATTTATTTATATAGACACAATGTTTGTAATACTATTAAGTTGAAGATCTGTTTTTTATTATTATATATTATTTTCTTTCTACTGTTTGTATTTTTTATTTAACTATTAACTTGATATTACTTGAAAGGTTAAAGAAAAAAAAAAAAAAAAAAACTTTATAATATTGTGAAATCTGTAAAATCATTTTATTTTTTTTTTTTTTTTTTTTATTTGTCTGTTCATATTGTATGCATATTTATTATCTATAACTTGAAATTTTATTTCTATTTTATTTTATTTTTTATAATTTTTTGTTTATTGTTGATATGCAATGATTTATGTAAAATTTTATTTTATTTTTTATCTTTATTTTTTTTTTTTTTGTTTATTATTTTTTATTATTATTTGTTTAAAAATCAAACTTACAATTTCTAACTAAATTTGATTTTGTTAAGACTCTGCTGATCATTTTTATATATGGGTTTATTTAAATTACAATTATTTATTTTTTAAAATTGGATTGGATTTTTAAATAAACAATAAACAATAATCAAATGGGGTGATGTTATATTGTTAATATGTGTATATTATCAAATAAAAAAAACTAAAAAATTTAAAAAAATTTTATAAAAAAAAAAAAAAATTTAAAAAAAAATAAAAAAAAAAATAAAAAAAAAATAAAAATTTTTTAAAAAAAAAATGAAAAAAAATTTTCAAAATGAAAAAAAAACACCAATACAAATTTCTATAGCAAGGGTGAGTGAAATTCGAAAAAAAAAAAAATTTCATTGGCATTCTGTACCAAATAAATAAAATTCGTTTAATTTTAAAGAAATCATATTTCTTATCTTTTAAATATTATCAATCATTTTATTTGTTTATTTAAATACTAAAATAAAATATATACAAATTTAAACTTATTTATTTTGGTATTTTAATTTGAAAAAAAAAAATAAAAAATAAAAAAATAAAATAAAATAAAAAACAATGTGTGATTTTGTCAAAAATTAAAAAAAAAAAATAATTCTTTATATATATTTGTTTTATTTTTTATTTTTTATTTTGTTTTCAAATATGTGAATGTTATCAATTAATTTGTAAAATAGTATTTTAATAAATCAAAAAAAAAAAAAATAAATAAAAATAAAATTAATTTTAATTAAAATTTATTGTTTTTTTTTTTTTTTTTAAAAAACGAATAAAGTTTTCGTTTTTTTTTTTTTTAATTTTTTTTTTTTTATTATTTTAATTATTTTCCGATTATATTTAGACATGTAAATAAATTTATAATAATAATAATTATTATACAATTTTATAATTTAAACTAATTTATTGTTATTGATATTATTTATAATACTATAGTCACATATAAAATATGGGTCAAAAAAAAAAGAAGTTAGCCAAAGGACGTTTAGATAAATTTTACTATTTAGCTAAAGAACAAGGTTACAGATCTCGTGCTGCTTTCAAGTTAGTACAATTAAATAAGAAATACAACTTTTTAGGTTCAGCCAAAGCATGTTTAGATCTTTGTGCAGCCCCAGGTGGTTGGTATGTATTATTATTTTTTTGATGTATACATATATTTTATATAATACTAATATTTATTTTATTTTATTTTTAAAATTATTATTTTAATTTTTTAGGATGCAAGTTGCATCTAAATATATGCCAGTACAATCATTAATTGTTGGTGTCGATTTGGTACCAATTAGACAAGTTAGAAATTGTATTAGTTTAGCAGAAGATATTACAACTCAAAAATGTAGAACTGAAATTAAAAAAGCATTAAAGACATGGAAAGTAGATGTTTGTCTTCATGATGGTGCTCCAAATATGGGTACTTCATGGGTTCAAGATGCATATCAACAAGCTGAGCTTACATTACATGCTCTTAAATTAGCAACTGAATTTCTTGCTACTGGTGGTTGGTTTGTCACCAAAGTTTTCAGAGGTGCTGATTACAATTCATTAATTTGGGTATTTAATAAACTCTTTAGAAAAGTAGAATCAACTAAACCACAAGCTTCACGTAATGCTTCAGCAGAAATTTTCGTTGTTTGTCAAGGTTTCCTCAATCCAAAGAAAATCGATCCAAAATTATTAGATCCAAAATTCGTTTTCAAGGAAGTTCAAGAAGGTCCAAAGAAGGTTGATGTTTTATCAGAAAAGAAAGCTAAAAGAAACAGAAGTGGTTATGAAGATGGTGTCACTATGCTTAGAAAGAAGGGTTTCATTTCAGATTTTATCGAATCATCACAACATCTTTTAGATCTCGCCAGTTTTACTGAATACGAATTTGATGAAAATGCTCAAATCTTCAAACAACATCCATCAACAACACCAGAAATTATTGAATGCTTTAGAGATCTTCGTGTTTTAGGTAAAAACGATTTTTCAAAGATTATTAAATGGAGAAAGGCTATGGCTGAATATAAAGAAAAATTAGATAATCCAGAAGAAGAAGAAACTAAAGAACCAGAACCAGAAAGAGAACTCACTCAAGAGGAAAAAGATGCTTTACTTGATACAGAACTCGAACAACTCAAAGAAAACCTCGAAAAGAAGAGAAGAAAGGAAAAGAAGAAAGCCAACGAAAAGAAACGTCTTGAAAGAAAGAGAATCGAATTAACTATGCACATTCCAGGTGATAAAATTGAAGAAGGTGCCGATGATGATCTTTTCGTAATGAAAGGTAAACAAGATTTCCAAGATGATGTTGTAGCCGAGCATGGTGACTCTGATTCAGATGACTCTGATTCAGATGATTCAGAAGTTGAACCAGATAGAAGAACTCAAGAAGAAGCTGAAATGGATAATGATGAATTTATGGAACAACAATTAGAAGATCAATACAAACAATATATTTTAAGAGTTTCAAATCGTGCTAAAGAATTTGATGTTAAGGTCAAAAAAGATAAACTTTCACAAGATGCAGAATTTGACGATCAAGATGATGATGAAATGGAACAAGAAGAAGAAGACCACCCACTCTATGTTGGTAAAGCTAAACCAATTGAAAAAGATGCCGATATGTTTTTCGATAATGACTTATTTGGTGGTGTCGAATATAGAACCGAAGATGACGAACCATCAGAAGATGAACAAGAAGAAGAAGATGAAGATAGTAAACCAATTGATATTTCAAAATTAAAATTACAAAAGGCTCAACCAGTCGCAACTAAATCAAAGAAACAAAAAACAACTAAAGGTGGTTCAGAAAAAGGTGGAAAGAAACATCAAAAGATGCCATCTGGTGAAGAATCAGATGATGAAGATATTGTTCAAGAAATGGATATGGAAGAGGTACCAATGGAAGAAGATGTTGAATACTCATCAGACTCTGACGAAGAAATTGATGATAAAATCAAAACTAAAGCTTTAGGTGAATTTTTATTAAGAAAGAAATCAAGAAACGATCTCGTTGATGATTCATTCCACAGATTTGCATTCAATGATAATAGAGATGGCATGCCACAATGGTTCATCGATGATGAAAATCGTCACCACAAACCACAAACCCCACTCACTAAAGATATGGTTGATGAAATTAAAAGAAAGATTAAAGAAATTGATTCAAGACCAATTAAGAAGATTGCTGAAGCTAAAGCAAGAAAGAAGATGCGTCTTGGTAAGAAAATGGAAAAAGTTAAAGAAAAATCAAGTAGTATTATGGATAACGCTGATATGAGTAATAAAGAAAAATCAAGAGCCATCGAAAAACTTTATGCTGGTACAGATAAGAAGAATCAAAAACCAAAGAAGATTATTATGATCGCAAAGAAATCAAAGACAGGTGGTGGTGGTACTGGTAAATACAAGATTGTAGACAAACGTATGAAGAAAGATTTAAGAGCAATGAAACAAAAACAAAAAACCGTTGGAAGATCAGCTGCATCAAAGAAAGCCAACAAAAAAAAATAAAATAATAAAATAAATTTAATAGTATAGCCTAAATAAATAAGTTTAAATTGTATATTTAACTTGTTTAATCAAAAAAAAAAATAAAAAAAAATAAAAAAAAAAAATAAAAAATTATAATAATTACCAATAGTTATATATATTAATGTTTTATAATAAAATGAATGAAATTATATAATTTTTTGCATTTTAAAATAAAATACCCACATCTTTATATTTTTTGATATTGCCATCAATAGTTTTTTTTTTTTTTAACCTTTATATGATATTAATTATTTAAATAAGGGTATTGATAATACAAGTGTATACCGATGACATTGCATAAAAAGATTTTTTTTTTTTTTTTTTTTTAAAATAAAAAATTATTTATTTTATTTTTATTTTTTAAAATTTTTTTTTTTTTGACATGACAAGTAACCATAATTTTTTTTTTTTTAATTATCCATTTCTAGGCATTATAAACTATAATAGAAATACATTATTGTAAAATTATCTATATAATAATATCTATAAAATAAAAACATATATAATAAATAAAAATAAAAAAATAAAATATAAAATATAAAATAAAATATAATCATTAAAATAAATAATATAGAAATTTAATTTATAATAATGACAAGTGGTGAATTCACTAGACTAGATGAAGATTCAACAGCAATAGGGCATGACGAAAATAATCAACATTCAACATTAGGTAGTTTGGCAACGGACGAGGCAGATATAAATAATTATGATACCAACGAGAAATTATTAGGTGAAACACATAGCAACCATAAAGAGGTTAATCAAGTAGTTTACTCACTAAAAAAGCATCAACCAAATCAAAGTAGTGATGATGAAGAAGAGGAAGAAGAGAAAAATAATAATAGTAGTAATAACAATAAAAATAATATAAATAATATAAATAATAAACCAGGTATAATATTAGTAAATAATGACTATATAAATAACAATAAAAAACCGTATAACGAAATGAATACGTTAATATTAGAAAACAGTAATAGTGAAATCAATGAAGAAGACTTTATAACATCAATAGGTGATAGTGGGTTTTTCACACCATTCAGCCAATATATAAAAAAGAAAAATGATAATATGTACGAAAAAATTTTAGATGTTTCAGAAAAAGTTAGAGTGGATGTACAAATGAACAAGAAGGAGTTGATTTTAACAGCCGCTTTTCTGTTTTGCTTTGTTTCATTGGGTGTTTGTGTTGGTTCATTGGGACCAACACTCAATTCATTTACAGAGCATTTAGATGCCTCAGTAGATCAAGTTGGATATTTTTTTTCAGCAAGAGGTATAGGATACTTTATTGGTTCTCTAGGTTGTAGATTTATTGATAGATTTAGAAATAGTAATTTCCTTATTGCAGGTGCAACAGTCGTTATGGGTGTTGGTTTATTATTGGCTCCAGTTAGTGGAAATATTTGGTTAACAGCATTTATATTTGGTATATGCGGTATGGGTGCAGGTTTTATAGATTCAGGTTTAAATACATTAATAGTTTGGGTTTGGAAAGATAAGGTGAATCCATTTATGCAACTTTTACACTTTTCTTTTGGTATTGGTGCATTTTTGGCACCATTATTGGTTTCGCAAATGGTCGAAAGAAGTCTTTTCTTCCAATATTTAATTTTAGCGATCATTATGCTTTCAAGTTTCTTTTCAATAGTTTTCTTAAAACCAGCCAAACACTATGTTGCAGAGGATATCCATTCAACAGAAAATGGTGAACTATCAAAAGGCGAAAAAAGACTTCGTGTTGAAGTAATTCTTGGTATCGCTATATTTTTATTCTTTTATGTTGGTGCCGAGAGTGGTTATGGTGGTTGGGTTTGTACATGTAAGTTTACATATATTGTATTATAGCTCTAAGGAATGATCATTATATTAATTTTTTTTTTAACCATTTACAGATAGTATCATAAATTTAAAGTTTTCAGATGAAACAGGGGCACTTTTAAACTCAATGTTTTGGGGCACTTTTACACTTAGTAGATTGGGTGGTGTATTTTTATCATTGGTATTATCACCACAAAAAATGGTAGTTTTAGATACATTGGGTTGTTTCTTTTTCGCCATTTTAATTATAATATTCCCAGGTTCTCCAGCTATTCTTTGGATAGGTACTGCAGGTTTGGGTATAAGTTTAGCAAGTATTTTCCCTACAGCTTTTTCTCTTCCATCCAATATTAATATTCCAATTACTGGTGAGGCTACATCATATATGGTTATTGGTGCAGTTATTGGTGAAGTTGTTATTCCATGGTCAATTGGTATGTTCCAACATCACGTTGGTATGCACACTTTACCTTGGGTCGTTTTATTCTCGTTGATCATATCGTTGGTTATTTACATTATGATCAATCTTCGTACAATCCAGGTCAGAGCAAGAGAAAGAGGTCAAAATATCAATTTTTCATTCAGTAACTCAATTGCATTATTAAATCAAGTGGTAAATAGTAATACTAATAGTAATAATAATAATAATAGTAGTGATATTAACAAAGATAATAACCTCGAGGCAATTAGCAGTGTTAATATTTCAATAAATAACATCGAAAATAAACAAACATTTATTATTTAAATAAATTTAAAACAAAAAAAATAAATATCTATTCAAATACCCGTACAGACTATTTCTTTCACTCTATTATTATACAATGATATTGATAAATAAAAATTAATATTGTATAATATAATATATTTAACCAATTCAAATCATATTTTTAATCATAATTAATAAAAAATTGTTACATTAATAAAGATTTAGATAATTATAAAAAATTTAAAAGTAAACATAAAAGTGTCTTTTTTATTATTAAAATTAAATATTAATTTATTGTTTTTTTTATTATTAAAATTAAAACATTATAATAATGATTGTTATATCATTTTTATTATTTAATACAATAATTTAAAATTTTCTAATATTTTTTATTATAAATATTTAAATTAATTAATTAATTTGGTTTATAAAAATATCGATTCATCTAATTGTGCCTGGATCTTTTTTAACAGTTAATGGGAGAGGTTTTCATAATAATAAGTTGGATTAATTCTATAAATAGTTGCTGTGGTTGTTTCGATGGGGAATGAACATTAAGTTTAATGGACTTTTTGAAGTGGTGGGTTTTGATATTCCCTAATTTGATCAATAGTTACGAACACTGTAGCATTACCTTTTGTTCTTAAAACTATTTTATTTCTATCATAGTTGCTTGGCCAGAGCGAATTAATGATATTCATAAAATAGTTGATAAGATTGATTAGTGCTGACTTGATTAGTTGAAATATGATTGTACACTATCGGAATCAATAGATTCTACTACTTTAACCAGAGATTATACACAGCTTGATGAGGAGAATTCGGTAATTCAACCTTTAACCAAAAAAATGATTCATTACCTGGCGTAAAGGATTCTTATGATTGATCTGTCATTTGTTTGAACTATTTATCTGTATTTACTGTGTTGTGTAAACAATATGAAAAAATCTGAGATTGGCACAATAAATCGACTAGACTGCATTGTTGGGTGATTAATTACTGTATTTAAAGAAAAAATGAAATAAAAAGATTATTAATATATAGTTTAATATTAATTAAAATTTTAAATACCATACCTAAGTTACGATTTCTACTATAAAGGAAATAGCAACAGGGTGTCGGCTTCTTATAAATCTATGGAAACTAAATATTATTCTTCAATTCTAGAAAAGGTTGTGTATTACCAGCACTTGAAATAAATTAACTAATTCTGATCTTTCTGGTAATTAATTTTTAAAATAAGATATCTCAATTCACTTCCCTAAGTCTTTAACTTTTTTTATTTTAGGTTGTTTATCTGATTTGATTTAATACTTGCTAAATGGATATCATTTAAATTGTTTGGACGCCTACAATTCTATATTTAACACTTGAAGTACCACATGAATCATTATTAGATGTGGCACCACTTGAAACTGCATTTAATTCTCTACCTAAATCACTATTTGAAACAATACTTGAAACAAAATTACAGCCGCTGTTTGAACCAACCACATTTGATTCAATATTTATACAACTGCTTGAACCCTACTTTTTGAAAAATTGCTTGGGCCATTTGAATTACATTTGACCATTTTAAAGACTATTTGAGCCATTATTGGGACCACCATTTTAATCACTACAAAAGGCATTTCTTGGGCTGACAGTTGAACTACTACTTAAAAAATTGCTCTGACCACCATTTGAATCACTACGCAAAATACCACTTGAATAAATATTTGACCAATTGAACCACTACTTGAAATATTGCTTGGACAACCATTTGAACCACTATTTGAAATATTGCTTGGACAACCATTTGAACCACTACTTGAAACATTGCCTAGACCCCATTTTAACAACTACTTGAAATATTGCTTAGACCCCTTTTTAACAACTACTTGAAATATTGCTTAGACCCCATTTTAACAACTACTTGAAATATTGCTTGGACAACCATTTGAACCACTACTTGAAACATTGCCTAGACCCCATTTTAACAACTACTTGAAATATTGTTTGTGCCACCATTAGAACCACTATTTGAAATATTGCTTGGACCACCATTTGGCCACCATTTTACATATTGCTTGAACCATCATTTTGACCTTAAATTGAATTTGCTAAAAGTTGTAAATACGTTTGGGCAATTGCTTTTCAGATGCTGCTTACCAGTTCCATTTTTAAATATTCTTTATTGAACCTAATTATTAAATAAATAAATTATTAATATATGTTTAAAAATAATTTGTAAAAATAATATTATTTTACATACCATTTCAGTCTATAAATTATTGATTAGCCGTACAGCTAATACCGAAATATAATAGACAAATGTCAATACATAGTATAACTTTGAAATCTGTTGTATTAAAAAAATGAATTAATAAATTATTAAAAAATTAAAAGATAAAAAAAAAAGAGAAAATAACTATTTACCTTTAGAGTTAAATTATAATGTAGAATTTAATTGCACCTTTTATATTATTTAAAGCATTTGGCGCAAAGAACCATAGTGTTTGTCATGATGAGATAATATAATTGCTCTATAATTTTCAATTGAACTTGGAAGAATTTCAATGAAAGAGCTGCTATCAGATTCACATGATGAAATAACTGTTATCTTTGACTTTAAAATTTCAGCAGCAGCAATTAGTGTTAAATGGTCACCCCAAGTACCTTCTCTTGCCATATGGTTACAATATCTATTCCAATTATTGGTATTTGCAAATTGGTGTAGTTTTGCACCATTTGGGAGGGTGAAATTTTTATTACTTATGAGCCATGTGGCAATGACTCTTCTTATCTCGGCACTATGGTTCAAGTTGCCATAAAGTTGGTCAGATAAGGCATGCATCTGACAATTACCATCTCCTGGGATGTCTCTACTATTCTCTAATTGGTAGAGCTCCAAACGTTTATTTAAACGTCTTATAGCTTGAAGTCCAGGTTGTGGTGATGGTTTTGGAATAGTGACTGCACCCGAGTCAATATTCTTATGTTCTTGTTTTTGTTGTTGTGGTTGTTGTTGTTGTGGTTGTTGTTGTTGTTGTTGTTGTTGTTGTTGTTGTTGTTGTTGTTGTTGCTGTTGATGTTGTTGTTGCTGTTGATGTTGTTGTTGTTGTTGTTGAAGTAGTTGATATTCTTGAAAATTTTCCAATTGTTTTTTATAATTAGGTGTTGATGCAGGAGGTTTTGGTAGTGGTTGTTGGTAGTTGGTTGTTGGTTGTGGGTTTGGATGGGGTTGTGGGTATGGGTGTGGGTATGGGTGTGGTTGTGGGTGGTGGTGGTGTGGTTGTGGTTGTGGGGTTAGTGATTGTGGTTGTGATTGTGGTATTGGTTGTGATTGTAGATGTGGTGGGTTGTGAGTTTTATGAAATTCTTCATAAAATTCGTCATTGTAGAAAAAGTCTTGGTCGTTTTCTGTTCCATCGGCGTAGTAGTATTTGGTGGTTTTATTATTCTTGATTTTTTTTTAAAACCCCCTAAAAAATGAATAAAACTAAAAAAATAATAACAAAATATCCCCTCTTTCTCTTTCCAAAAAATATATATAAAAACAAATATTTTTATTTAAAAATATATATTATATAATTATTATGATATGGGGGAAGTTGAATGAAATGTAAAAAAAAAAAAAAGTTATATCCAATGAAAAATTATGGGTGTTTTTTAAAGCAATAATTTTTAAAAAAAAAAAAAAAAAAAAAAAAAAATTTAATATACTATTTTTTTTTATTTAAAACAATTTAAAAAAAATTAAAAAAAATATAATAAAATTAAAAAATATTATAATAAATAAAAAAAAAACATAAAAAATATATTATTTTTACATTATTTTTAATAAATTTTGGAAAAATAATCTTAATTGGGAACTTGACTTTTATACAGATCATCCTTTAATAAACTATATAAAGCAAAACTTTAATCTTTTAAAGAAATTTCTAATTTTGAAAAAAACAGGTTCTCAATTGAAGTAGGTTCCATATCTGGTTTTACAATATGTAGATAAAAATTCATCAACACTTTTTATAAAAGAGCATACAGATGCATTTAATTTTTTGTTTTATTTTTATTTTATTTACTTTTAATATAATTAAATCACACAATATAAATAGATTATTAATTTTAATTAAAGAAAAAATAAAATAATTTTTATATTAAATCAATTATTTTTTTTTTTTTTTTTTTTTTTTTTTTTTTTTTTTTTTTTTTAAAAAATTTTTTAAAAAAAAAAAATTTTTTTTAAAGAAAAAAAAATGGAAAAAAAAAAAAAAACCTAAATATTTCAAAAAAATAAAATTTTTTAAAGGACAAAAGGGGGAAATAAAAAAATTTTCACCCCCCAAATTTTCAAAAAAATTTTTTAAAAAAAATTTTTTCACCCCCCCCCCCCCCCCCCCACCCAAAAAGGAACCCCTTTTTTTTAACCCCAATGGGGGGGGTTCACAAGGGAAAAAAAATTTTTCAGGGGGGCGGGGCTTTCTTTTTATTTTTGTTTGCCCCCCCAACCCCGGGTTTTTTTTCAACCCCTTAAAAAAAAAAAAGGGTTTTTGGTTCCAAATTTTATTTAAAAAAAAAAAAAAAAAAAA